GATTCTGTGATTTCTGTCTTTTATTCCATTTATGTGATTAATTATATTTGTTGATTAGTATATCTTGATCCACCCCTGCATCACTGAAATATAGCCAACTTGGTCCTGATCAATGATCTTTTTGTTGTGATAGTGAATTCAGTTTGTAAATATTTTATTGAGAATTTTTGCATTTCTGTTTACCAGGGATACCAGTTTGTAATTCTCTCTGTGTGTCATTTATTCTGCTCTCATATTTCTTACATGCTTTTGAAAAAACACCCTCAGTTTTCTGGAGTCTTTATCTTCTGTTTTCAATAGTTTGACATTGTGTGCTGGTGTACAGTTTTATGGCAAGTATGCTGCTTCGGTTTGTATCTGACACTGTTGAAAAACTCTTATTAATATTTCAAATATCTTCTGGCTGGTCATCTCCTTGTCTATATATCAGTTGTTCCAAAGTTCTTGGATGTGGTAGTTTTCTTTTTCTTCAGCTTGTTCTTTGTTCTCTTGTTTCGGAGTTTTTTATGGGAAGTCTACCCAAGCTTAGAAATTCTTACCCATATCCCTTTACGAGCCTATCAGAGGCATTCATTCCTGTCACTTCAACTTCAAGAGCTAGCATGTCTTTTCTAGTTCTTACTTTTATGGCTCCTACTGTGTTTACACTGCCCATCTGTTCTCACATGCTGTCTGCTTTTTCTGAGACTTACAGCATCTTAATAACAATTGTGAATCGCCAGTCTGTTCATCTCTGGATCTTGGTCTGGTGCTGACTTTCAAGTGGTGTTTGATTTTTGTTTTGATTTTAGTTGTCTTTTAGTATGCCTTGACATTTTCTCACAATAGATAGACATATTGGGCTACAGAAAAAGAATGACTGTAAATAGCCTAACCGGTGGTGAAGTGAAGAGGCAGGCCGTGGCATGCATTCTAGAATTCTGGGACTTGGACTGAGTCTTCAGGAGCCCGAAAGTCTGGCTGTGATATTTGTGCACTTCTCAGCCCTCTCCTTCCCATTAGTTGGACCAAGATGTCAAGGGGGCTAGAAAAAGCTAGAACTAGGTCTAGTGTATAGTGTAGCTATACTATTTTGGGACATATGCCTAACAGACTTTATATCCCACTATAGAGAGACCTGCTCATCCATGTTTGTTGCTATTGTATTCACAGTGATAAGGAAGTAGAAAGGGCCTAGATGTCCATCAACTGATGAATGGATAATAAAATCATTCATCTGCTAAGAAAAACGAAATTATGAAATTACAGGTAAATGAATGGAGCTAGAAACAGTCATTATGGGGGAGGCAAACTAGACCCAGTAAAACAAACATCACATGTTTTCTTTCACTGTGGATGTTAGCTTTTAATCTTCATATATGTGTGTTTCCTTTGTAATCCCTATTGAATTCAGGAAATTATAAGGGGCCATGCAAAGGGGCTTTTAAGGGAGGAGAGATAAGTATAAGTATCCAGATAAAGAGGGATTAATAGAACAGGAAGAGTTAAGTGGGGTGGGGATGGGTGGGCAGGGTAAGGGAGAGAATAAGAGGTAGGTAACCAACCCCAAAGACCTTTAAAAGCATCCTGTGGAAACCTACTACCATAGAAGCTGCCTAAAGTATATCCATATACGTAGATAAAAGAGTTATCCTATAATGGACAACAATGCCCCTACTAGACACTGCAGACTAACAAATAAAAATCATGGTGCCATAAATGGATCAGTTCTTCAGGAGTTTCTGGCTCCTGAGGTATCATAGACACACACACCCCCCAATATTGCAGGCTACTGCTTATGCTCTTGGTTATCCCCAGAACTTGACAGTAAGACTCTAGTGCTGGAGTCATAGAACATGGACAGATGAAGCTGTTGCTCTCCTGGAAGATTTGTCCCTACTGGATATCCTTCCAGTTCTGGAAGGTGCTGGGCACATGACCAGAAGAGTAAAGTAACCATCCATGAGTAGGACAGCCTGAATTTGATCCCCAGAACTCACGTGGTGGAAGAGGAGAGGCAACTCAAGCAAGTTGTCTTTTCACATCTACATGCATATATGTAGACATACACACATGTGAATACGCAAACACTCACACACAAAAATAATAAATCAATAAATCACAAAGAAAAAAGTAAAATTATATTTTTGGAGAGATAGCTTAGCAGTTAAGAGCACTGGCTGCTCTAGAGGACCCGGCTTCAATTCCCAGCTTCTACATGATAGCTCACAACCATCTATAACAACAGTTCCAGGGGCTCTGTCACCCTCTTTTGGCTTCTGTGGACATCAGGCATGCCCATGGTGTACAGACATATGTGGAGCCAAGATTTAAAATAAAATAATAAGTTCTAAAGAAAAATTAAATTATACCTGTCTAAGCAGGTCTAACATTTTCAAATGAGCGGGATGGTAAATTGTTCTTCTTCTCTGAGTTCTCTGGTTTTCGACCTGGCTCTATTTTCCCTCTAAAGTCTTCATATTTTGTTCCCATCATCACTTTAACTCATATAGAACAGATGTGCTACCTTACCTTTTCATATTCTGCAAATGAGTCTCCAAGTTCTTTTACTTTTTGTTTTATATCTGTTTTTAATATTAGAGGATTTGGTTTAACTTCAGCCAAATCTTCATTATCTTACTTGGAGATACTGTCCCCAGCTCAAATTTAAATAGTTATTTATATTTTCTTTGTGGATATATGATTTTTTCTAACATGTCTTTAAATATTGTGGACGTAATTTGTCAAGTATGTAAAATTTTTAATAGTTTGCCAATTTAAACCTGTTTTCTGATTATTGCAAGCATATGGAAACCTAATGAGTTTTATGAGTCTGTTTTCAGATTGGCAGTCTTTCTCAAATTCTTATTCAAATTTTAGATACTGCCATTTTCTAGGTTATGATATTTTTTATTTCTGGTGTTTAAACCTTTTATTGTACTTTTTTCTTTAGCTCTAAATTTTGGACTGCATTAGATGACAGTGTACTATTTTGATTTTTTCGTTTACTGAAAATAACATAGTTTTTACTTATTTTCATTTTTTGAGATAATATCTAACACAAGCTTCCCTTTATACGCTATGTATCCCAAGCTGGCCTTGAACTCAGGATCTTCCTGCCTCAGCTGCTCTAGTGCTAGGGTGACAAACATGCACCGGCACCCTTGGGTCTCCTAACACTTTATCCCTTACTTTGTTGTAGAGAGGTAGGTTTCTCATGCACATGTTTCAGTGTTCTTTGTTCTTCCTTAGCGCTGCTTCTCCAGTCCGCCTTTCCTCCTCTCGTTCTTTGTCTCCTTCCTCTCTCAAATAGTCTCCCTTTCTGTTTCCAAGACAGGTATTTCACCATCCTGTTGTCCCCTCCCTCCTCCCTTCTTTCCTCCCTCCCTCCCTCAAAACTCTTTTTCCTCTCTTGCATTCCTCTCCTCCTCTCACATTGTCTGCTTGTGTGTGAGTTAAGGTCTGGATTCTGCATATACAAGAACCCGTGTCTCTGCCTATCATCCATTCATCTGATGGATAGCTGGGCTGTTATGAACATGTAGCAGAAAATGTGGGGTGCAAGTATCTCTGTGACAACTTAGAATTCTTTGGGTCATGTCTAGGGGTGGTGTGGCTGGCCTGAGTGGTAGCTCTATTTTAGCTTTTGGAGGAAGCTTCACATTATTTTTCATAGTGGCTGTAGTAAGGTTTATATTCCTACCAGCCATGACTCATGACTCCTTCCCTACATCCTACCCAGCAATTGTTACCATTTTGTTTTTTATAATACCCATCTGAAGTTTTGATGGAAAAAGAGTTGGGCAAGATGTGCTTGTGGAGGGGTTTATTGATTAAATAAAACAGAATGAGCTGATGGAGAGACAAAGCTATATTATATAAATGCAGGTTTATTGAGAGCAGTGAGGGAGGCAGAAGGGGAGCATTGCTGGAGGGGGGGCAGGTAGGGAAAGAAAGAGGACAGGAAGGGGGAAAAGGACCTCTGGGAGAGAGGCCCCACCCCTAGGTGGAGGGCAGGGTATGGCAGACATGGACTGCAGCAGGTAGGGACTTTAACAGGGCTGCTAAAAGAAAGATGGAGCCAGGAGAGTGTTGGTTGAGGTGGGTGCAGATAGTCTACTCTCGTGTAACAGCAGTCTTCCCCTGACATTCCTAGGGTAGCCCCTGTCCTTGTAGAAGCTGAGTGCAATCATCTCTCGCCTGTTTGACTTACCACTTTTCAGCATCTGCATCTCGCCATACCCTCTGTCCTTTCTGCCTAGGGCTCCAGGCACCTGTGGCTGTATCCTCAACATCTGCTTCCTCGCCAGCAGCCTGTGCCCTAGCCTTAAGTCCTTGAGACACCCACCTCCTTCCGCAGACCCCCTTCCTCCTGAGACACCCACCCACCTTCTTCCTCAGATACTCTCTTCCTCCTGAGACACCCACCTCCCTCCTGAGACACCCACCTCCCTCCATCTTCATCTCTTTCTCTCCCTTTCCATCTGTTTCTACTTTGCATGCACACACTTGATTGTGTTGATGTGCCAAGGGATGTAAAAACCTCAGAGCTTTATAGACTTGGAGCTCTAAGTATAGTTGAACTGTTATTCCTCTTCATTTTTTTTTTATGGAACCAAAATTTAAAACACTCTTTGCTGGAATTTTATATTGAGTGGCTGAATTTGTCCTTACTTGAAGTGATTTTTATTTCATTAAATAAATATTAAAAGCATTTATTTGAAAACACTGACTATACAGTAAATTCTTAGGCTTTTCATCTGGATAATATTTGCAATTATGATCATATGCAGGGACACAGGGGGCAGATGTGGGGGTAGAAGAGGTAAGAGTGTAGCTAAAATGGAAGAAAGATTGCTTTAGAAAGGTTGTTCCCCCCCCCCCACACACACACACAGGTGAGAGCTTTACTCTATGACTTGCTCTCCTTAGACTCTTTCTCTGACTCAGTGGCTGTATTCTAACTGCCCACTTGTTTCCTTTTCACTGTCTGCATACTTGGTGGGCTCCGGAAACCTCAGGATGAAGTTTTGACTGTGATCCGGAGAGTCGATGATAATTGGGCAGAAGGCATGCTGGGAGACAAGATTGGCATTTTCCCTCTCTTGTATGTGGAGGTAAGTCTACTAACACATCTGTGTGCCCTTGTTGTTTGATTCACCAGAATGCTGGGCCCTGGCCTGGGGAAGCCCCTTTCTGAGACAGAGGGAGTTTCTTCTCCAAGCATGTAATACTTCCTGCTTCCTGGAGGCTTCTTCTAATCTGCCTTGTTACATCAGGATTCCTCTGGCCACTTTGAGTGAACGGTTCCTCCCACACCTGGCTGCTATCACCTCACTGTGCGTTCAAGGGTAGGACCCAGGCAGCCTTCCCTATCCTTTCTCAGACTCCTAGACCCATTACTCATTTTTTTTCCTGAGATATCTGAAAAGTGCTGTCTCCCAGCCCAAAGAGAAGAGTTTATGGGGAGGCAGCATCTCCTTGAACACCCACACAGATCCCCAGGACACACTACTGACCACTGGCCGTGTTCTGAGCTCCTTCCATTTTTCTTAGCTGGGCAACTCATCCAATGAGACTCACTCAGCAGAGGTAACCAGAGGCAACCCAAGGCTAATCTGAGACCTGATTGTTTCCTGGGTCCTTTCTGTGTCCAGGAAGCATGTATTTCCAAGTGCCACCTTAGGACAGTTGCTGAGCTGCCTGTCCACCCTGGAGTATTTGTCCAAGATTATTTGCCCATATGTATGTCCTCCATTTGTTGCTGCAAGGCCTGTGTGGTCCATGTGTAGGCCAGATGCTTTTGTCTGATGGCCACTCGGGGTGTCCTGTGTGCAAAGGCTGAAGGCCTCTGCCTCAGTACTTGATTTATCTTCCAGTAATGTGGACATTAGAAAGTGATGTTCACCTCCACTTTGTAGATGATCAGAGAGCCCATAGGTCCCGGAAGGTGTCGGGCCCCATGCTGATGTGTGGAACATAGATGGTCTGCTTTAGGCTTTACTTTTCACTGTCCTAGCCCACATGGTGTCCCACAAACAACTCAAGCTTTGTTTAGCTTAGTGTGGAGTTCCTGACTGCAGACACACCTTGTACTAAGGACTTGAGAGCCGGAGGAGGGCCAGGCAGGGAACATGGACACCAGGATGTACATGTGGTAGACATTTGTTGGAATCATCTACATGACCTTGGCTTCCACGGGTAAAGGCCCAGTGGTTTTCCTGGCATTCTCCACAGTCTTGCTGGAGGTATGTTTTCTAGCTTCAACACTGCTGTCCACAGCTCTCCTCAAATATTCTAGCAAACATTTACATTGGATTGGCTGTCCAGCAGATCCAAGGCCTTTATTAGCAATGATGGTAGGTCCATGCATATACAGCATCCCTGTGTCTGTAGGCCTTATTGTTATACCTACAGTTGCCTTTAATTGCTTCTGCTTTTACACACTTCATTGTTGTACCTTTCCTCTCTGTATAGCTACTTAAAATAAGATGCCTTACTGTGTGACTATCCATGCAGTCTTTAAGCCCCAAATCCAAAGTTCTTGGTGATTTTCAACAGTGCAGTATTTTCCCTGAGTCTTACAGAGATTCCCCAAAGTGCAAGAATGTTCATGGAAACACAACCATCTGAAACTCCACTTCTAAAGAATCCAGTGCTGTCATCTGGTCTGCACAGGTCCAGGTACACACAAACATAGCACAGCAAAATGCCCATACAAGAAAGAGTGTACTACCTAGTGCCCAGCGTGCACAACAGTGTTTACTGCCCTGGAGCCCTGGCTCCAAAGTTATCTGTGCTGAAGAAAAGAAATGCGAACAGAGTATTCCCAGAGACCTTTGCTGTTTCTGTATCAGTTCCCTTCTGGAGAGATACGATACAGAGCAAAAGCCTGACATTTGTCATGTGCTCTCTAGGTTAGGTCACGGCATCTGGAAAGCTAGAAATTCCACTGCCTTCCATCTGGAATATCTAACTGGTATTTGGCCTTAGTTTGTGGGAAGAAGGCTTGGGTTGTGGCTTTTTCGGAGATTCAGCAGAGGGCACAGTTTGGGGCGCTGTGTGCCCCCTAATGTTCATGAAGAGATATGATCAGTCTGCGTCTAAATTCATGAGGTACACGGGGTCTCATGGGCAGCCACGTCATCTGGAACCTGACACATGGAACAGCAACAGGAGGTTTGAAGGCAAGTGTCTGCTTAGACTCCTGCTAGCTGACTGAGAAACTCATGTCTGCCTTGCCTTCCTATATGCATGGAATGCAGGCAATAATACTGAGTAGGCCTTAAATAAAAAGCTACACTGTGTTCTCCGGCTGTGGCTGACTCTTGCCTAGGCTTACCAGACAATTGCAGCAAGAGGATCATTGCTGAAGCCAGCCTGACCTTTGTTCCTGAGTAGCCCTTCTCTGAGAAGACAGAACCCATCTCCAGGAAGAGCCAGAGCTCGTAGCAATAATTGCCTTTCCACTCTCCCTGTAATCCTCACACACCAGCTGCCCCAGGACTGCCTCTGTCCATACTGTGCTTGCCCAAGATTTTTTCTCATCTCCTTCCAGCTCCTTTGGCTGCTGCCAGAGCCCCATCTGTGGCCCCAGGTCCCAGCACTGACACTTTTTCCTTTACCCCTAGGAGCAGTTTGAGGCTCAAACTACTTCACAGAGGTCACCTAAGACCACTGGAAAACACAGATATTTATAATTCATAACAGCAAAGTTACAGTTATGAAGTAGCAAGAAAACTACTTTTATGGTTGTGGGTCACCACAGCATGAGGGACTATTAAAGGATCGCAGCATTAGCAAAGTTGAGGCTCTAAAAGTGTTGTGAACTTTCCGGCAGCCATCTCCTTGCTGAGACCTAGGGCACCTTCTCAGTCATCAGATGACAGCCTGGCACTGCACACTTACTGAGTCTGAGAAACAGAAAGGAGACACCTGAGTCCCTCATCATTATTAGTAACAGAAATGATGAGAATCTAAGGGTTGCCATCCAGCACTCAAAAGGGCCTTCCTCCTGGAGAGGGCAGAGTAGTGTCATTATTTTGTTTTTTTAAGATGTGCTTCTGTTAATAGAAGTAAAGCGTACAGCCTGGGGGGAATTCCTGCTTTCTGGGTCAAGAGTTCAAGGATGGCTTGAGTGGACCATTGCTTTTGAAGGCTCTAGTTGTGAGCTTAGCCCTGTTGCATGAGCACCCACCTGAAAACCCTATCCATCATGTTCCTTCTCAGAGGGCTCGAAAATAGTGTGGTCATATCCTCAGCCCAGCACCCAACTAGCTAAAGCAAGTTAGGGACATCATGGGCTTCAGACATGACCCATCTGGGCACATCTTCCATTCTTCACCTCTGCATTACATGTGTAACCTATGACCAACCTTGCCACTTTGTGAGACTCAGCAACCCACGTCTTCCAGAGGCTAGAGGCCTAGGACCCCTGAGGTGCACTTTATCAATGGTATACTCCAGGTGGTGAGAGAGACTGAGGAGAGCCAGCTCCAGCCAGAGACAGCACCCTCATTCCAGAGCAGATAGGAGCACATAGGAATGGGTCAGATTGCACCAGATCCAAGCCCTGACCTAGTGTCGTTGCATTTGGGGGTTAAGCAAATCTTGTGTGGTATATGGAAAACTTCTGGTACTATTTATAGATTCTGAAAAAAAAATAGTAGCAAAACTAAAGTTCTGATTAAGCTAAATGGATGTAATCATCCCCAAAGTAAATGTTGCTAAGGCAACTGTCTCCTATGCGATATGATGGTCCTTAGCATCAGCTCTAGAATGCAATGCCAGGCATTTGTTGTGCCTCAGTCAGCTGCCTACTGGTTTGGGTTCATCCTCTTATGAGACACAGTAGCTCATTACTTCATTGACCATAAAGAGGGGATGTTATTTTGAACCCCTGCCTCTAAACATAGTTTTACCACTGAGAAAAAGCAGCGCCCTGCAGCTGTGATTCAGGCCACTCTCCGTGGTGCTGTGGCACTCTGTTTGCCATCTCCTGGTACTTGTCACTTGTGGCTTTTGTTGATTTTTCAGTCATTTGACTGGGCAGGAGAACGTTTTCAGGGAGGAAGCTCAAGAGAGGTTTCATGGGTGTCCGGTTTCTTGAAAGAGATGGCTTATATAAATGTATGGAAGGACATTTATTAAGGAAATTGGCTCTGGCTATTATGGAGACTGAGAAGTCAGGCAACCAACCATCTATAAGATAGAGCTCTGAGATGGTAGTGGCTCAGGCCAAGTGCAAAAAGTTAGAGCTGGAGACACTGAGGTGCGTCTCTCAGCTTCGGGCAGGAGGCCTGAGAATGGGAGACTGTTGCCACAGTGATAACCCAGCTGAGGATTAACTGCCAACTGTTTTTGATCAGGCCTTTACTCAGAAATACAGTATATTCTCAGGACCTTGTATGACAAAACATCACCTGGAAGCCCTGTCTCTTCAGCCCCTCCCCAGGGGTCTCACTTCAGTTACACATGGTGCACAGACCCACCCTGGAGGGCCGAGCGAAGTGTACATGAAGCTCTATGCCACAGTTCCGAACTTTGAACTTCCTCAACCACTTGGCCAAGGCAGTCTCTGCCCACTGATGCCACCCCCAAGCCTTGCCCCTGGGTAGACTTGGCATATTCTGAGTGCCTCCAGGAAACTCAAGTCTGGAGAAGTCGATGCTAATCCAGGACATTGTTAGCTGCTGGCAGGACAGGCATGGGTCTTGGGCACCTGACACATGCACTCAGCCTTAGCTCTAGAGAAGTTTTCATGGATGTAGATAGACCAGTATTCCTGGTGTATGTTTGATGGCCATTTTGGGTCATTAGAAAAGTGGATCATTAAGCTGAGTGTGAACATCCCCATTGGCAAGACACAGCATTTGGTTCAAGGAGAGTATGTCCTCTTAATCCACAAAACAGTATGTAACTCTGTGATTGCTGAGTTAAAGGCCTTGTTTTAGATCTGAAAGGGGGAAAGAAAAGGCTTATGAAAGTTTTCTTTAAGGGACTAGACAAAGCTTAGAGTGTGTCAGCCGGGCTCAGCTGAGCAGACTGCTGTGGGAAATGAGTATGCTAACCACATCTGATGCTAGAAGGCTCACTCATCTTATCTTGGCTTCTGCCC